ACCCACCCCCTCAGACGGCGACCTCAAGGCCAGCAACGTTCTCCTCAAGTCCCAGGGCGGCGCCGGCGGCGCGGGCCCCGCCGTCAGCATGCTCGACTACGACCCCGGCTGCCTCATCGCCAAGGTCTCCGATTTCGGGCTGGCGCGCGCCATAGACCCCGCCGCGACCCACGTGTCGGCGTGCCACGCGGGCACGCTGACGCACATGAGCCCCGAGCTGCTGCTGGAGGGGCGGGCGTCAAAGGCGTCTGACGTGTACGCGTTTGGTGAGGGCCCCGGGGGGGGGGGGGGCGTAGGTACCTTTGTGATTGTGTGTGAGTACGTGCGTGTGTGTGTGTGTGGGGAAACCAACGTGTGTCCGCACATGTGTGGCGAGTGCGCGCCGGCGTGCGCCTGCAGTTCCCACCCCGCCCGCCGACGCGGCCCAAGGCGCCCGCTCCGCGCCTGTGGCAGTACCGTGCTCCTCTCGCAGCGGCGCCAGGCTGGGCCCCCCTCCGGCCAGGCCCCGCCGCCACCGTGACGAAACCCAAAACGGGGCCGCCTCGCGCGCTCTCACCGACCATTTTCTCCCTACAACCGGCCCCCCCTTTTCCCAGGGATGCTGCTGTGGGAGCTGGTCACCGCGGGCCGCGCCTTCTCGACCGTCCCCAAGCCCCTCGTCGGCCACGCCATCGTGCAGCAGCGGCTGCGCCCGGCGTGGCCGCCGCCGGTGGTGGGGCCCGCGTGGGCGCGGCTGCGCCAGCTGGCGGAGCTCAGCTGGGCGCACGACGCGGCGGCCAGGTGCGCGGCCCGCTTGCAACGGCCCCATTTTCCAAAGGCGTTCCCAGGCCAGCAGCACCCGAGTCTCGCGCCTCACCCTCCACCCCTGCTGAGCTTGCCGTGGCGAGCCGCATCACAAGCCTGGCATGCGCCCCGGCCCTGCGGCTTGCTCGACCTGCGCCGCCCGTCCCACCCTGCTGTCCCCCGCCTGCCCTGGCCAAAACGGCGCGCGCGCCGGTCCATCCCCCAGCCCGGCCCTTTTATACGCAACTCCTCACTCTGTCCTCATCCCTTCAC